GGCGCCGATTGAAAACCGGACGTCAGAGGTTGTTTATCAGCCCTCTTTCCCCCCCCCTCTCCTCTATGGCTTCTCCCTTTCAACTTGAAGCCGATTGGAGAATTCGTCTCTGACGCCTTCAGGCTCGCTAGCCAATGGCAGGGACCAGCACGTGGCGTGTGTCTATATAAACCGGGGGCGGAGCTTGCGGGTGGGCTTTCGCCAGCGACAGTCAGAAGCAGATGGAGCTGGAAGAGGAAGGAGCAAGGTCTGGCAGGAACACCTCCAAAGGCAGTTCTTTTCCTTCGTTCCTTTAAAAAGGGAGAAAAGTGAACTCAATCTTTTCATTTTAAATATAGAGATTTGGTACAGTGCATGCTGCTCATGCTTTTCTTTATTTTATTTTTTTAAAAATTAATTTTTTAAAAAATAATTTCAATTTTAAGGCAAGCCTTATTTTTAATTCGACTTTAGCTCTGAAATCTACCGACCTTCCTTCATCTCCCTGTTCTTTTTCTTCTTCTGCCGTATAAGGTTGTAAGTGTAGGTTTATAGCTTTTATTTTTATTGCTTCAATGTATCTTAGTATTTTAACTGTACTGTTTGAAAGAGCTTTTGTCTTTTGGTTGTATTTTATCCTATTGATGAGTAATGTTTTAAGATAGTACTGGCTGAATGCTTTTTTTTCTTCTTCAATGTGCACATTTGTATTTTTTTTAATTGTACTGTTTTAATTTGTAAGTTGCTTTGTGTCCCAGTTTTGGAGGAAAAGTGGGATATAAATAAAATAATAATAATAATAATAATAACCATCATCATCATCAGGTAGGTGGAGAAGTTAGGTCATTTGTGGGACATTGTGTCTTTGGAGGTTGCCAAGGGCAAGCCTGGGCATGTTGCTTTGCTAGACCAGGGCCATAGAGGGGGCTGGCGGAAGAAATTAATACAGTACTTAAGTAGGATTCAAACACATACACATACTTCCTCCACTGCCCTTTTTAGCATTTGATCCCAGTTCTTGGATCTAGAGACTGTGGTTTCACAGGTGTGCAACTTAAAATAAATAAGCCAGAGCCTACTAAAGTCATATGCAAAGGGATCTTGCAGCACCTCTGAGACTAACTAAAATAAAGAAGCCAAGCTTTCCTAGACTTGAGGCTACGTGAGTCTACAAATGCATCTGGGGAAGAAGGCTCAAGTCTTGGAAAGCACCTGCTCCCGGCTTCTTTCTTTCACTTAGTCTCAAAGG